GATGCCAACATGAGGGTTGTGGAGGTGGTAGTATAGGGGGTGGGGATACTCCTCGATAAAGGAAAGCCTCCTGTGCAAGACCTAAGAATCTCTTCAGGGATCCAATGGCACAAAACACCAGATATTTCAAAATATTTGGATTTTGTCTATAGAAGAGAATGGGGTAGAAAGAAACAAAGCTTGGAAGTAAGAACATATGAGCTAAGACTGTAAAAGGGAAGGTGGCTTAGCATAGTTGAGAATCCTCAAATTAAATTCTAAGAACCTAAAGTAGAAAGCAGATTTAATAATATCTTATATGGCTAGAGGAGTTCTTGCATAAAATTAGATTACAGAAGGCCAGGTTTTCAGAGGAAGATGAAGGCATGCAACCAACCAAGAATAAACACTGTAAAACCAAAGATGAGAAAAGCGCAAGGGAATTCAAGCCTAAAATAAAATGAAAATGAATGCAGAAAGTTAGCAAAAGAGTTTTACTGTTGCATTCAAAGGAAAATGATGAGCAGGGAACACATGGGAAAGGCTAGGTTCTGAAGAAAATGGTGTCTTTTAAAACCAGTTGTGGGGCTGGTATGTTTCCCAGTGATAGAGAGCTCCCCTAGCATGGGCCGGCCCTCACTCCATCTCTAGCACTACAACAACCAAAACCAATCAAACAAAAACACTAGTGGTTCATAAGCTCCAAGGCCAGGACTCCACCATTTTCACTTCTATACACCCCTGAGTGGCATACATAAGCCATCTCACCCAAACTACTTACACCCAATTAGCAAAGGAAGAAGCCAGAATCATTAACTTTCACTCAACTGACTTTTCTGTGGGGGAAAAAGATTTTCAGAATGTTATATGTAGAATCAATAACAATATGAAGAAACTAAAATGGTCACACTTGATGAGCAAAAAAAAAAAAAAAAGGAAAAAAATCTGACTCACTATAAGTAAGACTTACTAATAACTTACATGGTCTTAGTTTTGGATATAGATATTTTAAGAGGCAGTTAATGCCATTATGGAATTTATTACTCATGCACGTTCAATCACACTTTTTCCAGCACGTATGTAACCATTTTCCCAGTACACGTGTATCCACCTTTTATATTTTATTATTACATTTGATTAAATAGGAAAATTTAAAAAATAGATTTCCTACCTGCCTCCCCTCCCCAATTATGTAAAACTTCATTAAACACCTTTCTTGCTTCAGGGTATTCTATACATGTGATGTTTAAAAATAGTAAAACAAAATAATTAAAATGAAAATGTTTCCCCCTTTCTACTGCATTCTAATCCAAGGCACTGGTTTTTCAAATATTCAATACCCATTGTCTAAATATTTTCCTAAGATAAAGCAGATATTTTATTAAAGTAAAAACTGAAGCACTAGATCACTGACTGAAACTGTGAAAACAGAAGAAGAAAACGTTCCTCAATTCCTACTCACCCATCAGGGCTGGAGGTGTGGTGTGTATGTGAAGGGGAGTATGTAAAACAAAATTAACTAAATAAACAGTATTTATATCTTTGTGGAAAGAAAACATTGAGAAAATATAAACTAAAGAAGGCAACGTTGAGAAGGACAAGAGAATTTTTATAATTATGAAGTTTATTTTTTATTTACTATGCCAACTTTTTCAGGAAAGGACTTTACATTGGTTTTTATAATCCATTTTACAAGCAAATTCTAATATACAGTATGACTTGAATTGGTTTTTTAAATCAATGGAAACCACAATAGTAGATATTATTTTTGTTTTAGTTAGTCTTGATTTAGAGACTTTAAATTCTCAAGGTCAGTATAATCTTGTTATGGCAATGCTTTACCAAAAAGAAAGTGGGAAGTTTTTTCCCAAATAGGTTAAGACATATATCTTTAATTAATAACATAATTTTAGATTGGTGTCCACCATCATAATCATTTATCCAAATGTATTCTCTCAAATTGCTGCAGCAGAAAACCTTAAGGAACATATGGAAAGACAAAAGCAAAATAGAATTCAAGTGAATCAGAATTAAGAAAAATTGTGAGGCCATCATCCCCAAGGAAAAACATCAGATAATCATTTGTATTACAACTATAAATAATTTTCAGATGTGTGCATAAGCATGCAAACATAACTACCCAAACTAATTTACCAACATGAAAACTACAGTCAGCTGGAATGTAAACTGAAAACTGAAATGGTGCCGCAGTCTTATTGACCCTTCATTGCAGGCCTGATTGGTAATTTGAAAGTGCATCCCTAGGGCCGGGGAGGCCAGGAAACCAGCAGGACAACTGCTTGGAAACTGAGAGTGCACCTCTGTGTCTGTAACACCATCTACTCCACAGGAACTTTTGGAAGTGACAGCTATGGGGGTTATAATCTCTTTGATGCACTGAATAAAATACTAAAAGGGAGAATGGAACATCTGAAGAAAACATAGTGCTTTAATGGGAAAAGTGACATGCTGTGAATATAATTCTGTGAAAGGCTGTAGTGATATCTTCAAACAGCAACAATTACAGAGAGATTCATTTCACTAAACAAAGCCACACCCAAGAGGAGGCATTTTGATATTTCAGGCACAACTCCAAGCAATTAAGCTCATTTAAAGTGCAAATCTGAAATTTAGTTTCATATTCAGATTTTTACTTGTTAAAATACTTAGTAAGTTCCCTAATATCTATATAAACTACAATGAACAGTAGTCTATTTGCCTGGAAATATTGCACAAATGAAAATGAGACTCCAAAAGAAAAATACCAGGTGGTCTCAGTGATTAAGAAACATTCTAAATGATATAACTCTATAATCCTTTGCTTAAAGTCTTAAAATCATCTGCACCTATAACAATAATATACGCTTTATTTTAAAAAAATCAATATGCATCCATTAACAGCCAAATATATAATTCTGCATACTTTTTGCTCTTACACAAATATGATATTTAACCAACCCTACAGAACTTCTTCCACAGGACTCAAAATTCATTACTCCCATCATCTTCACCAATACCAAAAGTAAAAGTGATCTAAGTTCCTTCGAAGGAGTACTTGGCACAGAGTTGATTTACAGAAGCAATAAACAAAGGTCAAGCCAAATCTGAGAAGGTGATCTCTGATTATTCAGTAGAGCTACACTCATTTCCATTTCTGACATAACATTTTCTAAGGAGCAGACAAGCATAATATTCTTGCAGCTTTTAAGGAAAACTGCAGATATATACTTTGTTATTTGTGTAAGCATCCTAGATATTTTTCTCTTAAATGTATTATGCTTCATAATTATATTGATGAGCCTCTTTTGTCAAGATGAAGCTCAACCAAGGTACATAGAAGCTGAACTAGTAAGTTAAGATTATGCAAATACATCAGGGAGGAAGAAAAAAGAGTGGAAAAAATATTAGAATAAACAAATAAGTGGAGTCAACATTTTTATGTATAAAGACATTTCCTTCAGACTACAGCATGAAAAATAAATTAAAAACTTTCCCCCTAGGAATAAGACCAACTTGTAAATAATATTTCATAAGGGTCTTCTAGTAACACCAACTTCTAATAATAAACCAAAAACCTACTAATTCATTAATATGCTTTACTTTAGGGAAATACAGTATGATAGCATCCTATTTGCAATATATGAAATCAGTTTTCTCCTTCAAAATGTGTCCATCTATAGCTGTGGTCATTATAGCTCACCTTCACACAAAAAAAGTACTTTGCTTATATGTAGGATGACTGTGTACCAATAATATCGGGACCATGCAAAGCATTTTCTAAACTCCAGCACTTTTCTGGCAGAAGTGCTGTGGTATAAGAGTATGATACTAGATTTGTGATGCTCAACTGTTATAGATATAATCTCTGTATACTGGAATGGAAAATTCACTTAATGGTTCTCTGATAAGAAAGGGAAGACTGCATCAAATGGTAAGGAACACCTCTTTGGAAATTTCCACTAAAGCACTTGCTGTTGTTTCTCTTATAAAGTGGCATATAATTTAACCAAAGTACATTTTTAGAAGGAATCCCTAGAAGTTGAGTGACTTATCTTTTTTGGCCATCATTCCATTTGGTATACTTTTGGTCAGCTGATCAAAATAAAAATTGGCCTTGTAAGGTTATTTGTCTGAAAAGTATTAATTCCAATTAAATTAGCTACACATGACCAGCCTAAAGATGACATGATTTGGGAGAACAGAATGCAAATGAACTGAATTGTCTGACAAGTGGCCTGCAGCATGATTGGGTTCATGCACATGGTTGCTTGGGGGTTTAACAGACACCTTTTGTAGCACATTAAAATAAATAAGCATACTCCCTTTGAAATACTCTTTAACGAAACACTATTTCCCATCTACAATTCTATTTTTCTTCCGAAATCTAACTTTCAAGAAATTGTCAAATGTACAACAACAGAAAAGAGAAACCTAAGAAACTCAGAAATGTGAAACTATTATGAATTCCAACTTTCTCAAGATAGTCTTACTTAAATTTATAACTTTTCTCAAAATATTTAACTTGTTTTGCTATAGAAAATAAGTTTTAAATCCCTATGCATGGGACATTTATATACCATCAAAGTTTTGTGCAAATATTTCAAGTCCACTATTCCAGTCTTCAGATATTAACATAAGTCAATAAATATAAATAATTATAATAAAGACTTACTTAAAATAAATGCTGTAAATGCTGTGGAACCTTAAAAAAAAGTTATGATGGATCCATAAGTCCTGTGTTATTCAAAACCGAATTGCCAGCAAAATTCTAGCACCAACATATGTTACAAATGGATATACCTTAGGTACAAGTTTCAAGGTATATCTCAAGCTCTTCAAATTTACCAGTAGCAATACAAGCACAAATTATATATGTATGTATGAAAAACAAGATGTTAAAGCAACATATAATTGGTTTATATATAATACTGAACATTTTCAGTCTGGGGAATTTAGTAAACAAATAAACAGTAAGACTAGCTTGCTGATTCCAGTAAGAAAAAAATAAAACTTACATAGTCTTCCCATTAAAAGTCTGATCTCCTTCTCCTTTATTCATCACAAGCTTTTGCATAGACCTTTAAATATATAAAACACTGGCCAGAACTCTACAGATTACCAACTTCCATCATCACCACATCTTGAGTTAAATTAGTAGCCATAGTCACAGGAGGAACAAGTGAAAGGAGCTGGGGTTCGGATAACCACAATTAATACAGATACAACAGGTCTAAATCAGCAAAGCCTACTTCTTGCCTGCTGAGGGAAATATTATTACTTTGCTGATGTGCAGAGGGATGGTTAGCATGATTAGAGTCTTCTGTAGGCTTCTGAGATGGGAAAGCAAACTTCTGTGTTTACCTGAGACGAGTATGCTCAAATGGTATATACTTCAACCAGGATATAAAATGGAAGAGCCAAACTAGTAGAAGCTTTCACGTTTTAATTTTAAGAGTTGCAGGCTTTCAGTGGAACCTCCAACATGGTAGCAAATTGCACATAAAGCTATTACAGAACAGATTGGTTTTTTTTTTCTTTAAAAAAAAAAAAAAACAAATTGGCAGGTAATGGCTATGTACTTAATGTATCTTTGGTTTAGGAAGACGAGAATATCGATTAGAGGCCAAACAATCCCCAGAATGCAAATTGCCATTTGGATTCTGCATGATTTCTTTTTGTCGTGCTAGTGGCCTTGGGATACTTGTCTTGGACTGGAAGTTTTGAGGTTCTAGTTGGGGGCTGCTTATTTGTTTTTGTTTGAAAGAGCTGGAAGGGGGACGGAGCTTAGATGTTTTCAGATTCAGATTATTTGCCAGATTTGTTTGACTAGATGTTGGCTGAAGTTTTGCTGAATTACATGGTGTGATTGTCGGTGACTTCTTAGAAGTGGGAGTCCTACTTGGAGATGATTCAGAATCTGGAGGGGGTGCCAAAGAACTTAAGGTAGATGGCTTTAACAGCTTTAAGGATTTGGGCTGAGACGGGTATCCCACCGGTGGAGACTGATCTCTTCCAACTCTCTTAGCTTGGTCTACTATACTTAACTGGGGAGGTGTCTGTAGAGAAGTAGGTATAAACTGCATGTCACTAATCTGATTCTTTGTCAAACGATAAGGCTCTTGAACATTCATGGTCATGTTCAAGTTCGCTTCAGAAGGTGCACTCTTAGTTACATCCATTTTGAACTGTGGGCTTGATGAAGAAGGCCGGTTTTCCAAATCATAATTGTTTTCTTGTTGCAAGCCATGTGTAAAGCCTCCATCTGGAAGGGCACTGCTCTGGTGCATGCCCCAGACTGCACATTCACTGTGGGCCTCGATATGTTGTGGCTTTATTAGTTTTCCCTGGGCGTGGTCTGTGGGTCTGGGCAGGTTGCTGGAAGGCTGTAGTACTTGAGGCTGTTAAAATTAAAAAAACATTAGCAGCAGTTTATCTTAGAAATGTCACACAGAAATAATGCAAGTTAAATTCCAATTAGGGTCTGTAGATATTCATTATGCATTAAAATGGAAAGTATATGTTTTTTTTAAAGTAAAAATGAATTGCAATATTCAAGTGAATTCATAAGACACATATACAAGTGAAAATGGAAACAAAAAAATGATACAGGCAATAAACACTAAACAAGATCCAAAATTAAATGGGGGAAATAAAATTTTAAAGTAGTAAAACTCATTATAGAAAAAAACAAAACAAAACTCCTGCCTTAATAGATTAAGGATTTACAACCTTCTCTGCAAGAGAAAATGAGAATGATTTCTATAGCACTTTGGTTTAATCTTCACGAAACACTTAACTATGACCTTCAGAATATTACCCATTTTAAAGGTATTTTTAATGTAAAGTTGTGTATCATGTTACCAAGCACTGTACCATTGTCAAGAATCAAAATTACCAGTAGACAGACAAAATTCAGAATAAAGATTATACTGTCAGCTTATGTGAAATTCTAATTATCTGAACAAAAGTAAGTTAATACACTTAATTATTAATACACTTAATAATGCTAACCTGCTTTTCAATATTCTTTTTGAGAATAAAATGTTTTCATTTTGTTCTGTCTCACTGTCACTATGGCTGACATGTAGAAAGCATATAGACCATATCCAAGAGTGAACATTCATTTAGTAAAATTAAAAATTGTCAGCTTTGTGATTGAAGCTCACGGCAGAGTACTCATCTAGCATATGTGAGGTCCTGGGTTCAATCCCCAGCAACATTAAAAAGAAAAAAACAGGCCTGTGAATGACTGGCTGAGAAAAAAACAAATGTGAAATTGTCTCTGACAGAACTAAAATAACAAGCTGACAATGGCAAAGTTCTTAAGGTTCACATGCCTCATGTGTATTTCTCTGTGCTAACTGCATAGTTACGTTCCAAAAAATCAGAAGAAATGTGCAACTATCATATAAATATGGAAAAAAAATATAAATCTTAACAGTTATCTTTCAATAGCCCAAAATACTTAAAATATATAGAGCAGGACTGCGCCTGCATTTATACAGGGGTGGCTTGTAACAAACTGTCCTTTCTTACATGTACCTCCTATTAAGTAATGTGGGCTAAATGTCAAAATTGTTTGGAAAAAGACTTTGAAACATGAACTTTTTTACTGATGCAATAATTTTTTTACTATGCCAATCTACAAATAATCTACCCAATATATCTAATTTCTCCCATAGAAAGGGGGAACCTACTTCACTACACCATTTGTGCTCTTTTACCTCCCTGACTAGCACTAGACAATAGCTGCCAAGGATCAGTGGTCAGGGATTAGATTATGTCATGGCTGGAAGTGAGTGAGAACAATGATTCAATGAACGAAAGCCAGCCCTGATGATATAGGACTGATGTGCTACTTTAAAATTAAAAAAATCAAGACAATGACTACCTAAATTAATCCATTCAGAGATATGTTTAATCTTACTGCAGAATGTTTAAACAAGCCAATTAGATTGTTGCTAAATATTCCAGACTTTAAAGACATTGGGCATTTTCACAATCACCACAGAGATGGTTAAACTATCTTTCAACATGGAAGGTCCTAAAATCAACAAAAAAGTTAATTCAATAGGTTCTCCTTGAGATTCCCTAGAAAACAACCATCATGTTAAAGTGATTATGAGTCTTATAAATATTAAAGGAAAAATAGAGAAGGACCATATTAAGGAAACCAAACTCTACCAAAAGCAGAAGGTGGGTAGAAAGGAAGAAAGAGAATGGGGCAACAATAAATGGCTGCATGAGGATTTGTTTTCTCTCTTTACCTTCAAACACAAAGTATTTTTGTCTGGAAGTTAAAAATCTTAAAACAATTTCAGGTTTTGAAAATATGAGTGACAATTTAAAAATGACTTTACTGCAATGTCTTTTGTAAAAAGTTATAAACATATACTATCAGCTCAAAGCATAAAAAGGTATGATTTCTAATTAAAGACAAAGTAATAAACTGATTATTAGGAAAACCAAACCTCCAGAAAAGGTATTGTGGATTGTAAATTATGTATTTGAACTGTCCTGATTCCCCAACTGATCATTCCTATCAGAAAAATAAATGGTGACACAATAGAGAGTTAGAGCCGCTTGTATTAAGTGTAATAAAGCACCATTTCAAATATTAAAGAATTAGAAAATGGCCAGGGTTTTAAAGAGTAATAAAATGTCAGGTTTTACTGAGAGGAGTCAGATTGAACAGTTACATAAAGTCTAAATTATCATCTAATTATATTAAATAAATCAGGGATTTTTATATGCTAAAAATAATGCAGGCTTTATATTTTTATTAAAAATAATTTTAGTCATATAATTACCCTATCCCAAAATAAATGTCATGTTTTATTATTTACTTGAAAATTACAATGTGGGAAATCTATTCCACTTGAAGCAAAAAAAAAGTCTTTTTCAAACAGGATAAGAAATGACTATAATATGAGCACTAAGGAGACAACTTGCTCCATATGTGTGTGTGTGTGTGTGTGTGTGTGAGAGAGAGAGAGAGAGAGAATGTATATGTACATATGTATGTATGACTGTGGAAATGGTTACCCACTAATGACTGAGTTGATATTAATCACCTGCCAGCAAGCTACTTCTACTACCTCTAGCAAGCAAAAAAGTGTTTTAATGGGTTGGTGTTTACACTATAAGTACCCCAAATTCTAAACATTCATATAAAGGCAAGATATTAACAGTTCATCTTGTGTTTCTATGACCATAAAAGGTACACTTTCATATTTTTCAAATTAATTAAACTATAAAGATCCCACATCCTCATGTAAATGAAGCAGGAATATTAAAGAATATTGTTTTTAAAATGTCTATTATGTACCAGGTAATGTACAAGGTATGGGAAAATCTGGAGCCTATCATTATGTAGTTCTTGTGCTTGATAGACCTTCTGAAATAGTCAGGTAAACAAATGATGAAACCTCTTCTCAAGCATAACATCAAATGGGAGCAAAAAGGTAACATCTATCTAACTGGAAACATTACAAAAGGCATCCCAAAATTGCAAACTATCTATACTGAGTTTTTAAAGGGTTAGTAGGAATTTGCCAAGCAGAAAAGACAGAAAGAAAAGAAAACTCTGATTTTTTTTTTATTTTGGCACATAGTGGGGATTAAATTTATACTTGCTAGAAAAATAAATAAATAAATGAATGAATGTTAGCTATATGGTCAAGAACTATTTCTTTGGTTGTAAATTATCAAAGTGATATTTTCTGAAAAGGTCAATGATGAAGCATTAATGATTAAAGAAAAACCAATTTTTAAAAGATCATGAGAAAAAGATATCTGATAATAGGAAAAATGGTTTTATTTTCCCCAATTTGGGATTAACTTAATAATTCATGTTTACTAGGCTAGAAGGAAAGATTAATTACATGTTAATTAGAACACAAATGCCTGTCATACTGACCTATAGGCTAAGTCATCAAACTGATCTGAAGACTAGCCATTTCTGGACCAAGAAGGATGGGAACACTAAACATTCAACTGTTTTCTATTTTTAACTCTAACAATTAAATATGACTGCACATGTAAAACAATTAGCATAGCTAACATATAGTAAGTGCTCAATAAATGCCACCCATGATTATTAAAGATACAATAATGATGAATTCAAGTTATGGATTTTAATATAACAGTCTTGATTGAGGGGGAAGCAAGTTCTTTAGAAGGATAATAATAAATTAGTTGCTAAAAAAATGAGGTTTTTACAATAGCAGGTACATCTGATATGGCATGAAACATGATTCCTTTACTGTCTTCCTAGAGATAAGAACTGGAGCTAGGACTGCAAAGCACTTGGAAGTTTAAAAAGAACTTTCATATGGTTCTATGAGGAGCTAGTCACAGAATTGGATCTCTTAGCTTCTGGAGTCAGCCTCATCTCAAGTTTGAGTCCTGAATCTATCCCTTACTATTGGGGAAATACTGGGCAAATGACTTCACTGTCCTGAAATGGAATTCATAATTTATAAAGCAAGGATGTACACCCAGTATATATACCTCCTAAAACTGTTTTAAACAATAAACAGTAAAATGCACAGAAAGTGCTTAAGACAATGTCTGGCACATTACAAATACTTGAGAAATGTTATACTCTGAGCTCTGAAAGATCAGGGTTCCATTCTTCCCAAGGGTAGCAATTCAAACTCCAAGTTTACATGCATAGTCTCTAACTTTCATAAAACTGTAGGTAGAAGGTATTGTCTTTTTCCTTTTGAAATGAGTAACTGAGGTTTAAAGAAGTTGAGTACCATGTCCAAATGTCACACACTTTAGCAAATGGCAAAGCTGAAATCTGAACCATCAGAGAATTAAAAGGTAACACTAGAACTCTGTAATTCTGCTATTTCAAATTTTCATGAGTTCACAGGCTTTTAGAATATCAATACAGCCAGAAGTTCTAATATATTTAAGAACTCTGAAGACAAATTCAATAGTATCATTCAGGTTACTAACTTTACTAGATATACCCTATTTTCTTCTTTGCTGATTTCACTCGTTCAGAATAAGTCTCAGACATCAAAATCAAGCCACATTGTGGAACAGTATTTCTGGAAAGAGGTGGTTCCACAGTGACTCCATGGAGAAATACTGAACACTGAGAAAAGGCAAATCAGCACTCACCACTGAGAAAAATTCTTCACCTTCACTGTCTCATTTTGCCTCAAAGATTTCTAGTATGAGCTGAAGGAAAAGTTATCAAGTTTTGTAAGCATTCTTGTCTAGGTCATTACCAAAAACAAGGTACCTATAAATGTCAAGTCCCCACTGAGCAAAAATATGCCAAAGTGTGCAAAGTAGAAATCAGGAAATGTTCTAAAGTATAAATACTACTATGTAACACACATAGGAATTACCTAAAATTATTTTCTGAATATATACAAAT